TCTATGATGGCTGCAAGTAGGATTTTCCTTTCAGAACGAATTTTATACATGATCCATTCATTCATTTGTCCATTTATTTATTCATTCCATATTTACTGAGGGCATACCTACTGATAGCTTAGTATCCAAAGAGTCCATATTTCTGAAAATAACTTGATTGGGCAACAAAAGCTGTGATATCTTTTTTTTTTTTTTTTCATTTTTCTTTTATTATTCATATGTGCATACAAGGCTTGGTTTATTTCTCCCCCCTGCCCCCACCCCCTCCCTTACCACCCACTCCACCCCCTCCCGCTCCCCCCCTCAATACCCAGCAGAAACTATTTTGCCCTTATCTCTAATTTTGTTGTAGAGAGAGTATAAGCAATAATAGGAAGGAACAAGGGGTTTTGCTGGTTGAGATAAGGATAGCTATACAGGGCATTGACTCACATTGATTTCCTGTGCGTGGGTGTTACCTTCTAGGTTAATTCTTTTTAATCTAACCTTTTCTCTAGTCCTGGTCCCCTTTTCCTATTGGCCTCAGTTGCTTTAAGGTATCTGCTTTAGTTTCTCTGCATTAAGGGCAACAAATGCTAGCTAGTTTTTTAGGTGTCTTACCTATCCTCACCCCTCCCTTGTGTGCTCTCGCTTTTATCATGTGCTCATAGTCCAATCCCCTTGTTGTGTTTGCCCTTGATCTAATGTCCACATATGAGGGAGAACATACGATTTTTGGTCTTTTGGCCAGGCTAACCTCACTCAGAATGATGTTCTCCAATTCCATCCATTTACCAGCGAATGATAACATTTCGTTCTTCTTCATGGCTGCATAAAATTCCATTGTGTATAGATACCACATTTTCTTAATCCATTCGTCAGTGCTGGGGCATCTTGGCTGTTTCCATAACTTGGCTATTGTGAATAGTGCCGCAATAAACATGGGTGTGCAGGTGCCTCTGGAGTAACAGTCTTTTGGGTATATCCCCAAGAGTGGTATTGCTGGATCAAATGGTAGATCGATGTCCAGCTTTTTAAGTAGCCTCCAAATTTTTTTCCAGAGTGGTTGTACTAGTCTACATTCCCACCAACAGTGTAAGAGGGTTCCTTTTTCCCCGCATCCTCGCCAACACCTGTTGTTGGTGGTGTTGCTGATGATGGCTATTCTAACAGGGGTGAGGTGGAATCTTAGTGTGGTTTTAATTTGCATTTCCTTTATTGCTAGAGATGGTGAGCATTTTTTCATGTGTTTTCTGGCCATTTGAATTTCTTCTTTTGAGAAAGTTCTGTTTAGTTCACATGCCCATTTCTTTATTGGTTCATTAGTTTTGGGAGAATTTAGTTTTTTAAGTTCCCTGTATATTCTGGTTATCAGTCCTTTGTCTGATGTATAATTGGCAAATATTTTCTCCCACTCTGTGGGTGTTCTCTTCAGTTTAGAGACCATTTCTTTTGATGAACAGAAGCTTTTTAGTTTTATGAGGTCCCATTTATCTATGCTATCTCTTAGTTGCTGTGCTGCTGGGGTTTCATTGAGAAAGTTCTTACCTATACCTACTAACTCCAGAGTATTTCCTACTCTTTCTTGTATCAACTTAAGAGTTTGGGGTCTGATATTAAGATCCTTGATCCATTTTGAGTTAATCTTGGTATAGGGTGATATACATGGATCTAGTTTCAGTTTTTTGCAGACTGCTAACCAGTTTTCCCAGCAGTTTTTGTTGAAGAGGCTGCTATTTCTCCATCGTATATTTTTAGCTCCTTTGTCAAAGATAAGTTGCTTATAGTTGTGTGGCTTCATATCTGGATCCTCTATTCTGTTCCACTGGTCTTCATGTCTGTTTTTGTGCCAGTACCATGCTGTTTTTATTATTATTGCTTTGTAATATAGTTTGAAGTCAGGTATTGTGATACCTCCTGCATTGTTCTTTTGACTGAGTATTGCCTTGGCTATTCGTGGCCTCTTGTGTTTCCATATAAATTTAACAGTAGATTTTTCAATCTCTTTGATGAATGTCATTGGAATTTTGATGGGAATTGCATTAAACATGTAGATTACTTTTGGGAGTATAGACATTTTTACTATGTTGATTCTACCAATCCATGAGCATGGGAGATCTCTCCACTTTCTATAGTCTTCCTCAATCTCTTTCTTCAGAAGTGTATAGTTTTCCTTGTAGAGGTCTTTCACATCTTTTGTTAGGTTTACACCTAGGTATTTGATTTTTTTTGAGGCTATTGTAAATGGAATTGTTTTCATACATTCTTTTTCCGTTTGCTCATTGTTAGTGTATAGAAATGCTAATGATTTTTCTATGTTGATTTTATATCCTGCTACCTTGCTATAGCTATTGATGATGTCTAGAAAAAAGCTGTGATATCTTGAGGAGGCATATGGAAATTGTAAACCTAAGATCCTCACAATTCAGAATGAACTAATCCAGTATGTCTCAAATTGTGATTCTAGGACCATCTGCAGTACCTAAAATCACAAGACTGATGATCATTAAAAATAGAGATCTGTGGGATCCACTCCAGCCATACTAAGTCAGAACACTAGGAATGAGATTGAAAATTAATGAGCATCACTGGTCATTTGATTTTCCTCAAGTCTGAGAACCATCCCCCAAAGAGGTCTTGCTGATAGGACCTGCATGCAATCGCTTAAAATGAAATAGTTTCCCCTTTCTCTTCACACAAGCCAGACCTTACTTGGCTGATTCTAAGTTACGGAGGAATACTGTAAATAGGGCTCAGAATTGTCAATATGCTCAAGACAAGAATTTCACTGAATGAATGTGAACTTTCTCACTCTCTCTGTTTAAATTTTATTTTATCAATTTTTACATTTACTCACATGTATATACATTGCTTGGGCTGCCCCTGCTCTCCTCACTTCTGGGCAGAACCTGTTCTGCCCTCTTATTCTCCAACTTTGTTGAAGAAAAGCATAGGAGGTAATAAGAAAGACAGCGTTTTTGCTAGTTTGAGAAAAAGGATAGCTATACAGAGAGATTCCTAGCATTGCTTCCATGCACATGTATATTGTAACCCACACTGGTTCATCTGTATCAGACCTCTTCACTACTTCCTGGTCACCTTCCCATAGTGGCCTGTCAGTTTAAGATTACTATATTCACTCCTATACAGTGAATTACTATATTCACTCCTATTCCCCCTGTGCGCATTCTCCCCTTTGTGTGTGACCCATGTCTAATAATGTTACTACATTTGTTTTGGGTCTATAATCTGCATTTGAGGAAGAACATGTGATTTTTGGCCTTCTGAGGCTGGCTAATTTTGCTTAAGATGATGGTCTCAAGTTCCATCCATTTACTTGCAAATGACAAGATTTCATTTGTCTTTGTGGCTGAGTAAAATGTGTGTATAAATACCACATTTTCTTAGTCCATTCATCAGTAGTGGGGCATCTTGGCTGTTTCCATACCTTGGCTGTTATGAATAGTGTTGCAGTAAACATGGGTGTGCAGGTGCCTTTGTAATAACCTGAGTTGCATTCCTTTGGGTATATCCCTAGGAGTGGTATTGCTGGATCATATGTCAGGTCTATGTTTAGTTTTTAAAGAAGCCTCCATATTGTTTCCCAAAGTGGTTGTACTAGCTTACATTCCTACCAGCAGTGTATGAGGGTTCCTTTTTCCCCTGCATCCTTGCCAACATTTGTTATTGGTGGTGTTTTTGATGCTAGCTATTCTAACAGGGTGAGGGGGAATCTTAGTGTGGTTTTGATTTGCATTTCCTTTATGGCCAGGGATGGTGAGCATTTTTTCATGTGTTTTTTGGACATGTGGACTTCTTCCTTAGAAAAAGTTCTGTTTAGTTCTGATGAACTGTTCTCTCTTTGACCCAAAATAAACTCTTTTCCTTACTAAACTCACCATTTAGAAACAATTAAAAGTATGTTATTTAAATAAAGAAACTTTTGAAAACACAGCTCATAGTTGTATTTCATTTTGAGTGGAGGGCAAAGTTGGAGAGATGAAAGAAATTATTTTTTAAAACTTTGATATGTTTTTTGATGTAGAGTCTTATTTCTCATTTTAATTAACTTGTGATAATTGTATATATTTGTAGGGTGTCATGTTAATTTTCAATATTTGTGCAAATGAGGGCAACTGGCATTTTCATCTCTATTATTTATGTTTGGAGACTTTGAGCTCCTCTCCTCTAGCTTTCCATAAAACATGCAATTGGTTATTGTGACTTACAGTCACCCTGCTGTGCTGTAGTACCACAGAACTTGTTCCTACTATTTAACTATGTTTTGATACCTACTATCCAACTTCTCTCTGTCCCTGATCCTTTCTTCTCTTTCTAGCCGTTAGCAGTTACTATTCTATTCTTTTCTGGTTTGAGATAAACCTTTTTAGCTATCACATATGAGAGGGAACATAGAGCATTTGTCTTTCTGTGTCTGGCTTATTTCATTTAATATAATTTTTCTCAGATTCCATCCATTTTGCCACGAATGGCAGGATTTCACTCTTTTTTATGACTGAATATTCCATTGTGTAAGAAATGTTACACAATTTTTTTTTGTCAATTCATCTATCCATGGACAGATGAGCACCCAGGTAGATTTCATATCTTGGCTATTGCAAAGAATGTTGCCATAATAAGCATAGGCATACAGGTGATTCTTTGACATGCTGATTTCATGAACCTCCACTCCACACTGTTCTTCAAAATGGCCATACTAATTTGCATTCCCAGTGAAGTATGTAAGAGTTCCCTTTTTTCCACATCCCCACCAACATTTGTTAAAATAGAGTTTTTAAGCCTTGATATGTCACATACAAACCCTTCTGAATTTGAAAAACAATAAATAGCAATCATCAGTTGTGAGAAGGATTTCTTGACCATGCCCATCTGAACTGTGCTATTTCATTCTTTTTCTACCCTGGTTCCCACAGCACTGAAGTCCAGCTGGGACTCTGTGACCTTTTCTTTGTTTTACCCCCAAATTCACTCCTCTTCCTCCCCCAGATAATTTTACTCACTTTCTGAATTTTCCTAATCTGGTCAGACAGTGTCTAACAGGCGAGTTTTCAGGAAGTCCATCACCTTGACCACCCGGCCATCAATGTAGCAACTGGAATAAAAATAAAACAAGAATAAGATAAAACTTTAAGCAGGGGACTACATATATACTTCTCTAGCCAGAGATTAATCTCTGTTGCCTGAGGAAACAGCCCAGGGTTCTACCTGGGTTTTTATATCCAGAAAGTTTTTGATCCTGAGTACTTTTCAAACAAATAATATACTTTAGGTCTTCTCTATTTCCATTTCCATTTGTGGGATAGGATTTTTTTCTATGTTTGTCATGTGAAATTCCATTGCTTGCTTGATGGGAACTGACATGAATTCCACAATACAAATTATCCAATGGGGGGAAGGCTTACTTTTTTCTCTTGGGAGAAGTAACTTAGCCCTCATCTTATGCTCATCTTTATCCCTACCTTGGAGTAATAAAGGTGTGTAAGACTTTCAAAGGAAAACTCAAGCATTTAGATAGAGTTCTATACCTTGAAATAAGAAAGTAAACATCAAAGCAAAAATCAGATGTACTGCAGTAAGCGAGTCTCAAATGCTTCTAGTCTTCAGCTTACTCCCTGGAAAATTCCTTATAGTCAAACTTCTTCCACTACCTCTGGGATGGATGAATGAATGAGTGAGTACATGAACAAACAAGTAAATAAATGGCACAAATCAACATCCAAGAGCTCTCTCCTGAAATAGTAAAGAGTTGGTGCTCATTGCTTTTGATTTGGGTCTGGTTTTCATTAGGTAGTCTAGGTGAAATATCAAGTCAAGGTGACACTATGTTGGGAACATTTGACTAAAACAGGCCCATATAGTTTTATGGGGACTTCCTTTGTGAATCACTTATTCTGAAACTTAAGCTGAGACTGGGCTGGGTTTAGGTGATTTTTATTAACCTCCATCTTTGCAAAATTCTGAATTGAATTAATTTTCAAATGCTTATGATTGCTGGGCACCTAGTCTAACCCTCTAAGGTCTCTTTGTTGATGGCTAATATATTTTAATAAAATGTTCACCAATCAGTACATATTATAGAATTCCATGAAAATTCTTTTTAGTGTTAAATGTCTACGTCAACATGCGATGTGTTGGAGTGGTTAGGTTTTTAAAACTTTGTTAACAAGTGCTTGGGTTGAAGGAGGGAAGAAGATGAATCTCACTGACTCAGCCTCCTGTTAGCCCCCCTTACCATCTCAATACATTTCCACAGTTCCAATGTATAAATTACTGTTATGTTGGGAAGACAATGGTTTTGGAGCCTGAGACATCTAAGGTGAAATTTCTGCTCTGGCATTTACATGATCTTGGGCAGTACTTTAGTCTCCACGGACTTCAGTTTTCTTATTCTTAAAAGAAGGATAACAGATCTACTCTTCAGGATTAATTGCAAATTAAGAAGAAAATGATCCTAAAGTGTCTGGCACACAGTTGGTACCTGGCAACTTTAATTCATTTCTAATTCTCAGCTCACAAATATGGGGTGAAAAACAATAGAGGACTGATTAGTGAAATTTTGTATGAGTACAGAATCCTAAAAAAGTGGAAATGCTGACAGAGGGTACATATTTTTAATTTTGCTTATATTAAGGAATAAAATAACGATGGCAATTTACCTCATCCCTGGTAGAGATGCTAGACTCAGATTCAATGAACATTTTTGTATGTGAAACACACAGTGTCAAGCATGTCCGTTACGTTGTGATCTCTTTCAACCTCTTTCTGTAAGTATGTCACTATTAGCACCTCAGAATTTTTTTAAAGTTGACGAGATGTTCCATTACATGAAAGTTAGGCCTATTAGAACAGAGTAGTCAAAGTTAATTTGTGTAATGTTAATCTAACACACATTTGAAGACACAAATACTTGTTGTCATATTATACGAAGTATATGACAAACAATGCCCAGTAATCATTCTCTTATTAATTAATCAAACATATTATAGTTTCCTTTTTCTCTTTGTTAGTTCCCCAGTAACTATATCAAAGATCACTGTTTAATGGAAATACAATAGATGGGGTGAACTTGTTCAAAATATACTGTACACATGTATGGAATTATCACAATTAAATCTCGTATTTTTAATATATGCTGATTTAAAAATAAGATAAAATTAAAAAATAAAGACCAGTGTTTATAATGTTTGCTGGCAACACATAAAACTTAAAGCTTCTTAAGATAAAGATGCCAGATGTAATTTTTCAGTGTGTAGAATTCCCTGTGAACTATCCACCCAACTTATGACTCAGGGTTGAAGAACACGCTTTCCCTCCTTTCTTTTGTCTCTTAAGTTATAGAGAACCTGGAGCTAAAAAGCCCTGGTTCAATGTTTTGCCTCTTACTACCCATGTGATACTGGATTTCCTTTACTTTAATCCCATCTTTAAGACAGTATTTTTTAAAAATTCGAAATGATAGCCTGCAAATAAGGAAAAGTGGTGGCTATAGCACGTGGCACATAAAAAGTACTCAATAGCTAAATCTACTCTGTCAGATTACTTAAAGACCTAAGGTAGCAGGAACTTGGAGTGAAAGGCTATGGGATAGGGTGGGCAGGGGTAGGTTCTGACCAGAGGAGAGCACATTTATTCACTACAGGATTTGAAGGAGGGAAGTACAGAGCACCAAGACTAAATTCTGAATTTCCAGCAGGTAGAAGGCAAGGAAGTCTGCTCCCTGTTACTGTCTACTCAGTTACTAACATTCATTTTTTCTGGCCCCAGAAATAGTCCATTTCCTCTTTCATGTGACATATGGGAGAGAAACTCCAACAGAAACTCTGGCCTATGCTTTTTAGAGCCTATTCTTTTTGTTGTTGTTGTTGTTGTGTTGGGTAGGGTACATTGTGGCATTTACAACAGTTCTTACAATATATCATACTTGAATTCCCCCTTCCTCCATTCTCCTTCATTCTCCCTCCCCTCATTCCTGGAATAGTCTCAACCGATACCATTTTTCCATTTACATATATGTGTAAACAGTATTTGCACCATATTCACCCTCCTTCACCATTTCCCCACCTCCCCCCTCTCCCATTGGTGAGCTTATTTCATTTTTAACTTAACAAGCTGGATTCAATTACTCTTAGTTGATCTTGGGCTATTTTTGAAGGCTGTGAATTGGATTGGAGGAAGAAGAGATACAGGCAGGGAAAGTAGTGGGTAAAGTTATCCTAATAGTACAGGTAAGAGTGATCTGGGTCTAAGTAAAGGAGGGCACAAAAGAAGTAAATGTGAGAGACTGAAGGAAGAGCTCATAAAACTTCTGTGAATGGGAATGAATGATGACCATAAACTTAAAGGGAGAGAATGTTTTAGAGGACACTGGTGCCAAGAACACTTAGGCTGGTGAGACTGAGGTGCAGATTTTCAAGGAGATGAAGGATTCAGTTTGATATATCAAACATATAATATATATATATATATATATATATATATATATATATATATATATATATCTTCAAGGAGGAAATATAAGATAGGTAGTTGGTGATATGAGAAGGAGTTAAAGAGAAAAATCAAGATGGATAATGATGACCTAGGGATCTTCAGCTTATGAGTAATGGATGAAGCCATGGCTATAGATGAGCTCTCTAATCAAATAAGGGAAGTTCACAGAGATGTGAGGGACCCTTTAAAATCCTTCTCAAATGTGGCTCTGGCACTGCCTCCATTTTTGACCCAGCTGAGGATCCCATCCTACCCTTGCCTGACCACCACACCATTGTTCTAACAACCTCAATTGGAGTCCAATTCACATTTGGGTGTCAAAGAATGAATTTCTGTATTATCCTGAGAAGTTTCACCAACTTTCATTTGCAACCTCAAACTCACGTTTACTTTATATTATGGAAACAGGAATTTTGGTCACCAGAATTTGGCATCACTTTTAAGAGGGGCTCATTTAACCATACGGTATGAGTCTGTTAAATCCTAAGCCTCTTTCTTGAATACTCTTGGACAATAAGCTTGCTGCACTTACCCTTTGTAAATGTGAAGCTTCTAAGAAAACATTCTGCACTGATGATCTGTGGCTATTTGAAAAATTCCTTCCTATTACTGAGTTTAGGGTCTGATAGGGCTTCTCTGTAGTGATGGGCCCAATAGATCAAGTAGATTTGGGCATGAAGGATGTGAAGCAGTCTGTGGTGACCATTTGACAACAATAAATTGCTAAACATGACAATGATGGTGATATTTTTGGGGGAGATGTGGATTACTTGGAATTGAAACCAGGCCTTCCTTGTGCATGCTGGGTGTGCTCTACCATTCAGCTACACCTCCAGTGATGGTGACTGCTTAACAGAGCCTGGATAAAAGGAAGTAGGACTAGATTCCAAATGATTGTTCAGTGATCTGGGGGCAATTCTCCTTTACTGACCTTCTCACTGGAAAGTTAAGGATGATTCTGTGCTACTCACCAGTCCCCACAAGTTAATTAATTTAGTAATGGCTAAATAAATCAAACTCTGAAGGCCAAATAAATCAAAAGAAAAGAAAGAAAGTAGGGTGGGAGGTGGAAGGAAATTAATCAATTAGAGTTGCTCTAGCAACTTCTACATAAACCCTAGAAGAATGGTTTTAGAATCACTTAGACAGACACTTTCAAGCAAACCTTAGTCTTCCTCCAAGCTTTCTTCAAACTTCACCATTTCCTAGAATCATACTCACAAGCGACAAAAGGGCTCACCCACAAGCTGAAGTCGAGAAAGGCTCTGCTGTAATAATCTTTTTTTTTTTTTTGGTAATTATTACAAATGAAATGAGATTGAAACCTTTAAGCATGGTTAAAAATAGTTTGTCTTGCTCAATGACAGCAGCCATCATTCTCTCTCCCAGAGAGACTGGCAGTTCAAGCATATACATCAGGAAGGTGGCAAAGATGGCCGAGCATACAAAGTAAATGAAACCATTTATCAGTTTATTCATCAACTTTCTTGTCTACCTGTGTTTAAAATTTTATTCACGGTATAATATACTTCATTTAATTTTGTTTAAAATGTTGCCTTTATTTTGTTTTAAAAGAAATAAATACTCATTGTAGACAAATTA